TGACTGTTGATAAGGTAATACATCTCATCAAAATATTTGCAAAGAGGTTCCTCGTATATAAAAGGGTAAAATATAAGGAAGAAAAAAACATGAATCAAAATTAAAACATGCTTTACATGCAGATACAAACAAAAGGAAAGTAAAACAAATAATGTGTCTTTAAAAAGCAAGAGGATCGGCAAGCTAATGTCATTGGTCAATTTGAAATTATTTAAAATAACATATACATTTTGTTTTAATATTCAATAATAATGATCCATGAAAAGATATTTCTATGATTTAGAATAAGCCCATTGTAATATATATAGGGTTTCTGCATCTCCCAATATAGCTTTCGACATTTCTTTCGATCAATTTCTTGCAAGGTTTCATAATTCAGTCCCTTAACATCACTAACTAGTCCGGACGACACGAAAAAAATGTCTGATTCAGTTAATTTATTATTTGGCTCTACTGTATCTCATTCTATACTTAAGCTAAAGAGTGCTATTCACTTGTGTGAATCCGTAAAATTTTAACAGACCTTGTGATTGCAGATGGTAGATAAGCCTGGAGGCCTTTCTTTATCGAGTTTTGTCGTAACCCGCGTACCACCTTTTACATCATTCCAATAGTGTCACGGTTCAGTATAGCTACATGTAATTTACGATTTGATTTTTAATAATCAAATGTATGAAAATTACTAAATCTATTCAATTATGTAGTTAGTGCACCTGTACGACTTAAGATAAATTTCCTTATTTGGCCTTACTGCACCTAACTCTAAATTTCTAACGAAAGGTGCTACTCATTTGTGTATAGTTTGTATAATTCTGGTTACTGTGTGCATCATCAGAAATGACATGGGAGGGATAATACAATGCTTACGATTGTAATTATTTATGCATTTTTATCTTTATCTCAGTAATAAAGCAATATTGTTATTAAATTGATATCGGACAAATAATGGGAATAGTTACCAACATATCGCGAAACCTTGTGTTGTGAGTTGTCTTGAAAACAACTTGCTTGAAAACCGTGGTATATCATTTTTATCTTTATTTCATTAATAAAGCTATTTTTTAATTAAAATAATATCTCACAAATAACGAGAATAGTTCCCAACATATCTCGAAACCTTCGAGAGTTTGCCTTTAAGTTGTCTACCGACTACTTGCTTGAAAATCGTTGTATTTGAAGCATTCCTTTGAATGTCGAACGAAGCCGACATATAAACATCGTATTTCGGGATGCAGGGATATTGCTCTCCTCTCCAGAAATGGAAAAATCCACAATAGGAAAAAGATATTTTTCTGAATGAGATTTACTAAAAGAAATACTTTATTATCGATAGTTTTGTAAACAATATGTCATTCCCTTTACTTTCCTAAAACTGTAAAAATTCAGACCTTAACTATTTTTCACAGCTACCTTTAAACCCTGAATGATGAAAAATCACAATATATCTTGTGTTGTCGAGGTTGATTAACGTGCGATCTTATTCAAACTGGTCACAAAGACCTCGCGATGTCCTTCAATTCCCCTCTTTCATTTATATTGACGATGTTTTGCCTTTACATTAAGAAATTTATTGCCTATGTCAATCGTAGATACCCAACAGAATACAAAGATCAAGGATATTACAATCTCTTTTGCATCAGCCGCTTACCTTTCTCGTTTCCCAGCGCGAAATAAACAGGAACAGCCTTTTATCAAGATGTATGCTAAACGTGATGGTCTAATTTCCCTGTTACACATTTTCCATTTTTGATATCGGTATCCTTGTATTAACAAAATATGGCGCTTACATGTCACGGTATTTTTATTTAAACATGCTTTGTTGCACAAAGGTGGCAATAGGATTGGGCAGTTGATTCAATGTACAAAGTCTTGTTAATAGTATCACGATTTTAGCAAGTTGTCGACAACTGCCTGACAGAGTGTAGACTCTCTACACAGGGTTCGAAATATGTAGGTTGGCGAAAATGGTGTGGAAGTATCACGGCCGTCATTGTGATCTCAAGGTTTACATAGCGAGTGTCGTCGATGAAGCAGTAGAAGCTTACTCTTCTGCATCACCTGGTCTAATTCTTTTTGTACTTCTACAGGAGCAGCAAGGTGAGTCTTTCTTTTGATAATGTTTTGCCCTAGTTTTATAGAACTGAGATTGACTTTTGATTCTGCTGACCTTTGGTTTTTTCTTTATTGTTTTCAAGATCGTTTTTCCCAGAGTGCTTTGAAACTGCATAGAAAATTCAAAGCTCAACCACAATTTTATTAAACAGCAAATCTTCAGACCGTTGCTTCTTCAAAATGTATAGAAAACATATTGCTGTTAATTAAGTCATAAACAAAGTGTATTACTTTTTATGTTTTTTAATTGTTTAATATATTTTTTTCTGTTAATTTTAATTCATTGTGATATCAGTGAAGGTTTTCATAAATACAAAGACGTATATGTTTTGTATATACATTTACAGTTTTGTACCAAAACTCAAAGAGAACTTTTCAAAATATGTTTTCACTTTTGTATTGTTGCCCATGTTTGTTCGTTAAAAATATTTCAATAATTTAAATCCAGTTTCCTACAATTGTTTAAACTTCTTACAATTCCTCAAGTTCGCAACGTTCTACAGATTGTTTATCAAAGTATATTTCCATGATATAAGTCTGGTTTCCCGATCCGTTTTGTACTATTTTGATATAAGTTGTTTGAAATGTACTTCAACAGATTTTAGACTTATGAGTTTTAGTTCCATCATCTTACATTTTTTAACACTGACATTTCATTTTTAATTTTTCAAAATACTACGTCTCATCAATAAGGTAAGGTGAACGACTCAAATACACCTTTCATATTTTTTTTCCTTTCAAAAAGACACATAATATTTTTTCTAACAGATGCAAATAAAATAAGTTGTTGTCTTGCCTAAGAAATATTTTTACGTGCAGCTATGAAAACTGTTAAATAAAGCACGGATACAAACTGAAATATATCACCATGAACTTCTATGTCTCAATACACGATACTATGCAAGAAAAAGCCATTTTGATTTTATAAGGTTCAAAAATGATTGTTTGGAATTTAGTTTGTTCTGTATGACCTGACAAAAGACAATACTTAGACGGATGGATATATTGAACGCATATCGCGGTTGATCATTTTCTTCCAAAAAATGTACAAAGACTGAGATGTAAAAAAATATCCTTCTATACAAATTAAGAATTGGAAATAGCATAGCCAAATAATGAAGTAATCTTAATTATAAAGTTGTTTCGTCCTTTTAGGACTCGTCAGTGATTCTATGAGCCAAATAAGGTTAAATAATGACATAGGAAAATAAAACAAAAATAAAGACGGGAGTCTACCAATCATTCAATAATTCTAATCAATTTCCGTATGAAGCTGTTTTGTTTCTCTAGGAGTCGTTAGTAATTTTGAGGTTTAAAATATTAGGAAGCGCCTAATGTGTATCCAATATTGACCAAATTCAACGTCAAAAATTCGATAGAGGGGCGTACCCATCCATAATTGTATACATTTTATAATTTTTAATGCTTGAAGGTTTGAAATAATGACAATTTCGACCAGTATATTTGATACTCAGGTTGACTGATTGAGTTGAATGCTCAACATGACCACAGAATTTGCACACATTTTTTCGACGATCATTTGAATATGAGTCTAATAATCACATATTAACGTGAATTGTACGTTTCAAGAGAAATTAATAAATAGATACATTTTACAGCATGTATGTCAAAAACTAATAATTAAACTGCATATTAAGACGTTTTGTCTTGCAAAAACCGTAACGTAATATAGAAATGGAGCAACCCGATAATTTAATTAATTCTTCCATTTAAATATCAATAGGGTTAGTATTGGAAGGAAATAAATATTTCATTGCGGTCCTAACCGATCAGTCTTATTCGATGTGTATTCTAGTTTTATCATTTACCGTAGAAGTCCTATTTACGTTATTTGTTAACAAGATATTTTAGGCTACATTTTCAGTATATCTCTTGAAAAACATTTGCAAAACAAACTTTCTTTCACGTAAAAATCCATAACGGTTAATTGATCTATAATGGCAAAAATCTATACATTAGAGTCAAAAAAATGTTTTTCAAACTTTCATCTGGTCAAATAAGATATATAACTTTGAAATGGGTCGTTATCAGTGATTAAGTCCACAGTTGTTTAATTTTCAGTATAAAATGTCATGTTTAAGTCGGCTCGAAATTGAAAATTATGTTTTGAAAATAGATTTTCGTAATAAATATGATTCGTAAGGTTAAAATTTAGTAATGTAAGTTTGGCTTATTCTCCTTGTTCTTTTTCAGGAGTCTCCGTGTAATTCTTTCCCGCGTTCATATTTTGTTTTACTGAAGTCTGCATTATACTTATGTTGACATGTTGGTATTTTCTTTTTGGTTTTTTTAAAGAAAGCTCCTATTCTGTATTTTGACATTGATCGCAGACAATTTGGATTTTCATCGCTCGCCTTCTATCATTTCGGGCTCTTTTTCCTTACAGAGGAGCTCTAGGTGGACAAAACAACCGCATGATTCAGTTAAGGTTGTTTTGTGCTATATATATTTTTATATATAAACTTATATACTGAAAGCGCCGTCTGTTATCAAATATTGGAACCCTATGTCCCTGTAATTGCCTGCATCAAAATGGTTTTTCCCAAACGTTTTCCGCTTAATGAACTATCCAGGAAACAATCAAAGATAATAAAGATCACGATTCATTCTTTTTACAGTTACTGGCTTTTCTTGTCGTTTACTGAAAAGGATTTCACAATATGGGAATTACCCGGAACACCTTCTAGCCAATCAGAAGCCATGGCTAGACAAATTATGCATGTATCTATTGGTCAAAATATCATCCTCTTCAAACGATACATTATTCAAATATTGCTAGATTTATCCATTTTAAGGCTCTCGGTCTCTGTCTATATATAAATAAGAACTTGAAACTTCGAACTAAACGTTTCAAGTCTAAAAACGGAATGGCACGGCTAGGTTATCGCTTTGTTGTGTTGCTGGCATTCTTTCATGTGGCTGACACAGTGCCAATTGTTAATTTTGAAATGGAGATTCCTATGGTAAGTTCAATATACATTTGTTCTTAACCTACCTGTTAAAACATGAATATCTTTTAAAAGGATCAATTTATATTAAATTTCTAGCTTACATAAGATAAATACCCATTGTCACGGTAATTACGTCACGATCACGATAATCTGATATCACATTACTCAAATACTGAGTATTCAATACATTATATAAAATAAATACTTTACGAGTATTGAAAAATGGCGTGAACAAATGATAAAGCTAAAAATACTGCCAGCTGATTTCTGATGACAGCTCTTCCATGTTTATCGACGAATAGTTAAGGTTTTGAAATCTTTATTTTTAGCTATTTTATGACAATTCCTTTTATTTCATTTTTCTCATGTCATTTTATGGTTATGTTCCGGTTACAGAAAATGATAGTGTAAATTATATTTTTATGTTACAACAAAAAACCAAATTAAATCGAATGGTATTAATCAATCGTCTTGACCACGGTTGGAGTGTGTGGGATGTCCCATGACCACGGTAGAAGTGCCTGGAAGGTTTCATGACCACGGTTTAAACGCGTGGTTGTCTCACTTTGGGAGGAAATCAGAGTACTCTTGAGAAATCGTACAGGTCACTCGCACCTTTTCCAATTTTCCGATTTATGCATTAAGTACTACTGCGCCACCATTTAGCCAGTTGATTTATTGAAATATTTAAGTGATTGTAGTTTTAAAGAAGCAAAGGTTATGAAGCGTATGATGTTACATAAATCTCATTAATGTGTGCTATCTCTGGTCAGTAAAAGGTTAAACCTGTAGTTGTATTATATTGTATTGTTATATTTATAAGCTGCTGAGTCACTTTACACTATTAATTTGTAGTTGTTATACTGTCGCGCTGTAACTTTACAGTAGTGTTTGTAGGGACCGTTATGATTGGTCAAATATTTTTTTGCTTGCTTTTTTTTTTTTTTTTTTTTAAATTTTTGTTTGTTTGTTTGTTTTACTATCTTTCGTGCATTGTAGAGTAGAAAACATCTTAATGTATTGGATTGTTATGACAATATTCCTGAATCAGACATAACCTTGTTTTAGGATTTTTCTTTCTGTTTTCTAACGCTCATAGGATTCTTAGAAGGAATCCACCTGATTTTTATCTGGTGAAGCATTTTTTTATCTGGTTAAACATTAAGATGATTCTGTCAATTTCCTTCATTGGCTGTCAAATATTTTACTATTTTCAGCAGTCTTTGCATAAATGCTAACATATCGCTTTATTTTCTTTTTCTTTCCTCAAATTTGGGATAAATTGGTGTCATTTTAGGTTAAAAGCCATGTTAGATATTTTTGCATTCATGCTCTAGTAGAGGCTTTTTTTCGACTCTTGCAATAAGTATGGATTAATAGTAACAATAATAGGTACTGTAATATAGGCATAGCAAAGGTCAAAATGTTTGGCAAGGTTAAAGAATTAAAATAAGGCAGTTCCAAAAAATATCAGTGATGAAGTTAGACGGTCTATTATGATTCGTTTGCTATGTTAATCTTACCTAGCGTCAGAGCTTTCTATTTCTGTGCTTTAACAAAAGAATTCATTAATTGATTCCGAAAATCAACAACTGAATGCCCAATGTGAAACAGAGAAGCCATTTTTTCAGTCTGAGTCCGAATTACAAAGATAATTTCTGAATGTAGAGTTTATGAAATGTGCCTTTTGTCCCCATTATGTTAACTGGAAACGAATCCGTATTTTGGAATCTATGAAAAAGTTTCTCCTTCCAAACTGTATCTCGCATCTGCCTAGAAAAGTGTCCTGACTGACACTGATCGATATACCGGTACGTGCCTTGTGGTTGCCAAAATGATTTATTATCATGTTGTGGTATGCTTCTTATCCAGACATATTGACGATATTATGACACCATGAAATTGCACTTTGGAAGAAAACTCAGGTTTTTAAGAAAAATAGCATTTACATGGAAAGTATTTATCTCTGTAAAATATATTCTCAAAAAGAAAAGGAAATCTAAATAATGTAGTTATCAAACTTTTGTCAGATATGGATATGAAGGTGTTTTTATCTTTATTACATATTTGTTGTTTATCATTAGTTTTGCGGAGATAATGAAAACAGCAGACAGAAAATCGTCCTAGAAATGGAATCACGAAAGGATCAAGGTCCTCAAGTGGTTTTGATAAATGATATCATCACGATCGTTGTCAGAACAGTAATATGATTAAGTAGGAAGATTTTTTTTTTCATAAAGCAGATATGTCTGATGTGCATTTTACGACGTTGGATAACGACATGATCAGCCAAAGAACAAGACCTTGAAGTTATGCACTGAATTATCTAGATGATACCTCACGTGTAGACCTTCATTATACAAACTTTAGTAAAGCTCTTATATGACACATGTCATTGTTCCTTAAAAAATACTTCAACGCCATGCTTGTCATAACATGTATCGCATGCCACACAAAATTACAAAACAAAAACCGTACAGGTCATGTTAAAAGACAAACAGAATATCTACATGTTCGGTGTTGATATCAAATCATTTTCATTCAACATCACAGGTAGGTTTTTTTCAACAGCTAAAAATAGGACTTTATTGTAATAATTCGTGTCATTACTCTTGCAATCCCACTTTTATGTTTAACATGTCTTTGATAAAACATTTATCATCGTTTATATAACATATAAAATATTATTTTGGGAAACGAAAAAGTCAACTGTTACTCGAACAATATTGTAAGAATACCTTAGGGTGAACGGGGAAACACAAGATGTTACCACTGCTGACAAATTACTTATTTAAAGTTTATTTATTAACAATTTTTGTCATCAGACATCAGTAAACGTTACTAAGTCATATATTATGACAGTTTATTGTTTAACAGGAACAAGTCCAGTCACTATCTAACAACATACATCAATAAACGCTACTTAAATAAACGTTATTCATATTACATTAAAAAAAATGAAAAAAAAAAAAAAACAACGGAACTCTCTATGAGAATAGGAGCAGTCAAACTCACCTAATGGATTTTGTTAACGAAAGTCTTTTGTTTTAATACTATCATCGTTACATATTGGTATGGCATATTCTTAAACTCATATGGGAAGTTACATAATGTTTCTTGATAAAATACCTATAATGGCACGTACGTATGTAGTCTATTGTAACTTTACGCTTACCTTTGCTTGTGCTACTAGACCTAATATAATTCCTTGTCCCTCAGTTGCTATCAGCAATCTGCTTGGTCGTCATTCCATTAATGATAGGAACACATTAGCTGAAAGGGTAAAATTTATATATTTTTTTTTTATATAATTTTCCTTAAATGTGAATTGGATTGGAAGAACCCTAAACAGAATCAAACTACATACTGATATGCATTTTCCACACTACTCACTTATTCGAATTCACACATATTTCTATATTAATTTGTCCAGATAAATGCATCGTCATTGGTTATTCACAGCGGGAAAATCACGTGACTAAGAACCGATGCCACAGTTACAAAATGGCCACAAAAGGCTTCGTTTCGAGGTGACTTTTGGTCGATGTGTCTTCGAAGCTATGGTGTATTTAGTTTTGGGATTGAGATAGTTTCCCATCGGTATAGATTGAATACATGGGACTATTTACTAAGTTTCGTGTATACATGTAACTTTTTAAGGAACTGCAGTTCATTCTTAATCGTGTATGATGAATCTGGTCGTGTTTCCGTCTGCAGTAGTAATAGTATACTGGAACAAAATGAGTATCCATATTTCGGCTTTTTGAAGGTTAGTATTTCAATTCCTGTTCTACGACACGTGTTACGATCCAATGTTTTCGAAACGCATTGGCTCGCCTCAATTAATTATAAAAATCTATCCAAATGATTTACTTTGACTATGAAATCTGCAAAATCTAAATTGTGTTGTATATCTACTATTATTTATTTTTCTGTATGTTGTATCCTTTGCCCCTGTTTGTATCTGTATTTTCAAATGTTGATAGTTCCAATAACCAGCATTTCTATTCATCCTACATATTTACACACATGTGCCCGCTAACTTTCGATTTCACATCTCTTTTGTTATCGATCCCGATTAAACCTATTTTGTCGACATTAAGAGCACATGTGAAAGTAAAGGAAGGATTTGATCACCATTCACTATATTGGTATTACAGTAAATCATATCTCCAATACATCTCTATATGTAAAGTCACCTACATTTATTTAATATACTTTTTACTGTTATTATACAGTGATATTAAAAATAATCCAATACCTCTGTGTAACCTGTCTATAAACATCTTAATATAAGGTCTTTAAGAAACCAACTTGAAATTTTAGATACTGAACTGTCTGATATTGATATTTTATGTGTAACGAAAACCCATCTTTCACCTAATATATCTGATGCTGATGTGCCATTAACTTCATATTCTGCAAATATTCTTATGCGTGATCATAGGACTTGTAGCAAATAAAAAAACTAATATTCTGAGACTTCTAAAAAGTAAATTAGACAGGAAGTCCCTTTCAATACTATATATATATATCCAATATTAGGCCAATTTCAGAGTAAGCTGATGTTGTGTGGGATAACTGTCCAGTCTATGCTAAAACACTATAAGAATCTATAAATCTTGAGGCTACAAGGTCAACAACTGGGTTACGCAGAGGTGCCTTACATGAAAAACTTTAATCAGAGCTGGATTGGATGTCCTTAGATTACAGAAGGAAAAACACAAAACTATCTTAATGTACAAAATCTTAAACAAAGAAACACCTGAATACTTATTTGATGTTATCCAACCATTTTTTAACAATTTTGAAGAGTCAAGGTATCAACTTCGAAATAACAGAATCTTTAATAAACCTATTTGTCGGACTGAAAGCTATATGGATAGTTTCTATCCAAACATGATATCTGAATTTAATAAAATAAGTAATCTCATAACTAATATTCACTCTGTGAGGTACTTTGAAAAAGCTCTGTTAAGGGCAAATTCTCCAGCTTGTTAGAATAAGAAGGAGGACAAAACAAAAAATAAATATCATTCTCTGTCAGCTCTCTAAATCATGATCTACATAAAGACTCTTTATGATGACCCATCTTGTGCATGTGGTATTCCAACTGAAACAGCTCAACATTTCTGTTTTGACTGCCCTTGATATATTAACCCAAGACAAAGTTTATTACAAATCCTGAACAACCATAATCATAACCACTATGAACTATGTTTTACATGACTGCCCAATATAGTCCTCTTTGAAAACTAGCTTGATGTGTATCCTGTTTTTTTTTTTTTTTTTTTTCTAATGAGCCGGTTTTTATAGACTTTAGCTATGCCAAAATCGTTTTGCATTAAGATCCTTGCAATACACAATTATCTGAAATAAAAGACACAGATTAGAGGCTCTTTTACAAAGAACTTCAGAAGACAACATATATATTTATCAAAATAACGAGATTTATTGAATTAAGACGCAAGTACATGTTCTCATCAAGATTTCACTGGCTTTTCTCGCGTGTCTTCTAAATTTTAAAGTGAACGCCCTTAACGCCACTGACCAGTTCTAGAAGGACTAACGCAGTTTAATTAAATATTTGACTTCATCTGTATCTAAATCGAAATTTGTATCGGAAGGTGTTTTAAGTTTTTTGTGGCTTCTGCAATCGTCGTTTACAGGAAAACATTTATATTTAACATAGTCTTGTTAATAATCTTATATTACTGATTATTTGTATATACACTGCATAGATCATTATTCATAAAGTCCATTTTACAGACAAAGCAATCATTTTTTGTGTCATTGTTTTATAGTTGACACCAGGAAAGCGAATACCAGACGTAGGACACGAAAAGATAAGGCACAACATAAAAACCTCGAACCATGAAGAACATGCTAAAGAAAACAAAGTTGATCGAAGTACGAAGAATGTAGTTGACGATTCAGTGTGGAACCAAAGTGATTCCTATAACATGTACAGAGGTATCCAAAATTCAGCCCAATATGACAAGGAAGATAAAATTAATTTCCAGACAACAAAGATACACAAACGGAAAGATTTGTTTGATAACCAAGACAAAACAAAACACAAACAATACTTTCTTACTCAAGGGATGCACAAACGGGAAGATTTGTCTGACAACCAGGATAAAACAAAACACAAACAGTACTTCCATACTCAAGGGATGCACAAACGGGAAGATTTGTCTGACAACCAGGATAAAACAAAACACAAACAAGTGGACGTGAAAATCAAACAACACCCGGATAACCCAGCTATCATCACCTTGCTCAGTCCTTCGTTAAAATCTCATTCAGACGATAGATCTTATCCACAGACAACAACGAGGAATCAGTTACTTAATGACACATTACGATTCAAAGCCCTAGAGCATAAACCAACAACATCCCAAAAACCTTCCACGCTTACAAACAGTTTCCATACTACCAGTACTTACAATTCTTCAATATCTTATAATTTAACAACTACGACTATAGAAACAAGTACTGCCACTACACCACCTGCCACTAAAACACCAAGCACTACAACACCCATCATAACAACACCAACCACTACAACATCCATCACAACATCATTATCCACCACTAAAACACCAACCACTACAACACTAACCACTACATCACCTACAACTACAAATCCCACCACTACAACATCCACCACAATAACAACACCTATCACTACAACACCTAATATCATAGCAACACCTAGTACAAGAATACTTACAACCACAACAATACCTATTACAACCACAACAACGCCTATTACTACAACACCTGCTACCACAAAAACACATTCTACTACCACAACAATACCTACTACCGCAACAATATCAACACCGACTAATGAAACACCTACTAATACCACTACAACACCAACTACCACAACACCACCTACTACAACAACACCTACTAATACAACAACGCCTACAACCATAACAACACCTACAAGCACTAAAACACCTACGAATATCACAACACCCACTTCCAAAACACTCATCACAAAAGCACCAACCACTACAACTTCTACCACTAAAACAACACTCACAACTACAACTCCCATCACAACAACATCCACCAATACAACACCCACCACTAAAACACCCATTACAACAACATCCATCACTTCAACACCCACAACTATAAGACCCATCACAACAACATCTACCACTACAACACCGACTACTATAACAACACCCATTCCCCCAATACCCATCACAACAACATCCACGACTTCAACACCCACAACTACAACACTCATCACAGCATCTACCACAACAACACCTACAACTACAACACCCATCACAGCATCTACCACAACAACACCTACAACTACAACACCAATCACAGCATCTACCACGACAACACCTACAACTACAAAACTCATCACTACAACACCCATCACTACAACAACACCTACCACTATTACCACACATACCACTACACCATCCACCAGTACAACACCTACCACTACAACACTCACCACTTCAACACCCATAGCTACAACATCCACAACTATAACTCGTACCACTATAACAATCCCTACTACCACAACAACACCCACAACCACAACACCTACTACTACAAAACCTACCACTATTACAACACCTACCACTACAACACCCATCACTACAACACCTACCACTTTAACAACACACACCACTACAACACCTACTACTACAACATCTACTACCATAACAACACCTGCAAGTACTACAATACATATTACAACCGCAACAACGCCTACTACTACAACACCCGCTACCACAACAATACCTACTACCGTAACAACACCTGCAACAACCTCAACACCGACTACTGAAACACCTATTAATACCACTACAACACTTAATACTACCACAACAACACCCACTACCACAACAGCATCTACAACTCAAACAACACGTAAAATTGCATCAACACCTGCTTCTATAACAACAACAGCTACGTCTTCTACTACAATACCTACTACTACAACAACCCCTACTACCACAACACCCACTACAACAACCCCTACTACAACAACACCCATAACTACAACATCCACCACTACAACTCGTACTACTATAACAATCCCTACTACCACAACACCATCCACAACTACAACACCTACCACTACAAAACCCTACACTATAACATCACCTACCACTATTACAATCCCTACCACTACAACATCCCCCACTATAACTCCTACTACTACAACACCTACCCCTGTAACAACACCCATCACTACAACACCTACTTCTACAACACCTACTACTACAACACCCATCACTACAACACCTACAAGTAAGACAATACCTATTGCAACCTCTACTACTACAACACCTGCTACCACAACAACGCATTCTACTACCACAACAACACCTACAACCGCAACAACACCTGCAACAACATCAACACCGACTACTGAAACACCTACTAATACTACTACAACACCTAATACTACCACAACAACACCCACTATAACAACATCAACACCGACTACAACAACAACACCTACAACTCAAACAACACATAAAATTGCATCAATACCTGCTTCTATAACAACAATTACAGCAACGTCTTTTACTATAATACTTAGTACTATAACAACCCCTACTACATCTACACCTACTACTATAACAACACCTACAAGCACTACAACACCTACTACTTTAACAACACCCACTACCACAACACCCACTACAACAACACCTGCAACAACATCAACACCGACTACTGAAATACCTACTACCACAACAACACCAACTACCACAACACCCACTACAACAATACCCACTACCACAACACCTACTACAACAACACCCACTACCACAACAACGCCTGCAACCACAACAAAACCCACTATCGCAACGACACCTACTAATACAACAACACCTTCCACTACATCAACACCTATTCCTACAACAACACCAACTACAACAAAAACACCTACAACTGCAATGACATCTACTGCTACCACAACAAGAACTACAACAACACCTACAACTTCTAAAACACATACCTCTACCACAACACCTACTACCACAACACCCACTGCTACCACAACAACCACTACAAATACACCTGCCACTACTACAACACCTACTACTTCAACAACACCTACAACTACACCTATTAGATCAACATCGTGTACTACCAAAACAATTACTGTAACATCATCTTTCGTACAACCACCTGCTTCAGCAGCACCTTCTAAAACAACTCTTACCATTCCTACATCTGCAACATTACATGTTAATGCAACATTTTCCACTGCAACAACAACACCTACCATCACAACGTCTAATACCACATCAAAAACAAGTACTACCACAACAACACCAACTACTGTAACGCCTACTTATACAACAGCATCTACTACTACAACAACTTCTACAACACATATTTCTACCACAACACCTACTACCACAACACCCACTACTACCACAACACCCACTACTACCACAACAACAGCATCTACTGCCACAACAACACCAACTACCGCAACACCTGCATCTACCATTACAACACCTATTGAAATACCTACTACTTCATCAGTCACTCATAATGATTCCAACACACGTATAACTAAAGTTACGCCTACTACTACAACTATTCTTTATGGACCAACTAAATCAAATTATCCTGGAGATATACCCATGGTCACTACCAAATCTACAAAGACTATGTACACTTTCTCAGTCATAAGAAATATGACCACTGAGACTACATCCTCATTAGTACCGTCCATCACAACCTCATCAAAATCCACATTTCCGCCTGTTACTATCACATCCAGTGTTACAGGCAAGCCTTCTACCTCAACCACGTTGTCTCAAACCCACACAATCGTTTCTAACAGAGTGAAGACAAAGCGCCATAAAGGAGACGTAAGACTGATGTCTAATTTATTTAGGGACAGTATTCTAGAAGACAGAAATAAAAATCTATTACGGATTAAATTTGACGAAGTGAAACCATATAATGTACAAAATCATATAAAAACACTGAGAGCACAACATAATGTACCAAGAATTATGAACAGAACTAGTAAACATAAGAATGTACCTCTTATCGCAGGGGAAAAAATGACACACCCTGACATGTCAAATCAAGGCGATCAATTAAATATACATAAACATGGAACAAATTTGTTCGACAAAGTCAAACCTATTTTTCGCGTAAGAAATAATGTCGACAAAATTGGGACAAAATACCTCTTACAAAGTTCAGTAGATAAATCGAGTATAGAAAAGAAAACAATACTAAAACCACAAATACACCATAATTCCGAAGGGAACGCAAGTCAAACCGTTGATGACTATGTAACAAAAACATCCAACAAAGCTCGAGAGGACAAATTCTGGACAAAGCAACAGCAACCGAACATTTCAGACAAAGTGCGGCCAAAACAAGATTTATTAAATACACTGGACAACATCTGGACAAATCTATTCAATATTACAGACAAAATACTGACAAAACAGGAAATATTAGAAACGCTGGACAATATCTGGACAAATCACCATCCATCCAACATTACAGATAAGGTGCGGACAAAACAAGAAACATTAAATACGCTGGACAACATCTGGACAAATCACCGTTCATCAAACATTACAGACAAGGTGCGGACAAAACAAGAAACATTAAATACGCTGGACAACATCTGGACAAATCACCATTCATCAAACATTACAGACAAGGTGCGGACAAAACAAGAAACATTAAATACGCTGGACAACATCTGGACAAATCACCATTCATCAAACATTACAGACAATGTGCGGGCAAAACAAGAAACATTAAATACGCTGGACAACGTCTGGACAAATCACCATTCATCAAACATTACAGACAAGGTGCGGACAAAACAAGAAACATTAAATACGCTGGACAACATCTGGACAAATCACCGTTCATCAAACATTACAGACAAGGTGCGGACAAAACAAGAAACATTAAATACGCTGGACAACATCTGGACAAATCACCGTTCATCAAACATTACAGACGAAATGAACCATGCTGTGTCAGGTAAAGTCAACATAGTAAAGACAAATGACCATGGACAAAGTGCTGTCCACCAAGTGAGAGTTATCGTTTACATCCCACCTACGGGTAAAAATGTGGAAATGAATCACTTATCAAATGTTCATGCAATGACAAATGCCAATGACAGAAGGACAACTAACCCCATAGATACAGAGTTAACGAAAACTACAAAACATCCCAACACGAGAGGGATCAACAAGGTAGGACATGGAAATCCTCCCCTTGTCCCTCCTCAGATGAATCCTAATCAAGGTAAGAGCTATACTCAACCTCATACATCCGCACCAATGTTACATTGCTTATATTATGGTAACTTTCATTTTACCAAACTTGTAAATTAGAATTCAATAATGTTGATTATACAGTGCATTGAATGTTAATAACCAAGAAAGGAATAACAAGGAAACAAAATATGAAATATAATGTCTTTATTATGAAGATATTCTCTGAATATAACTTTGAAATACAGTATTCAGCTAAAAGTATAGATATATAATAATTCATTCAACTCTCTCTCTCTCTCTCTCTCTCTCTCTCTCTCTCTTCAGCATTAGTTTCTTAGTTTTTCTGTTCTACCATGTTCACAAAATATGTTTGTGTTGATCTGGCCCTTGGTTAACCATCAATTTATTAAGAGAGAAATGTACGTTAAACATGTCATTCACAGGATTAGATAATTTTATATCTTTCAGGACACTATCCACGTGAAGAAACTATGCTTTCACAAAAGAGACTGAAGATTTATGAGAACGATATTAGTGAATTCAACAATGATAATTCTTCTGAAAAAAATGATAATGACTCATCAAAATTTAATATGAAAAAGGTGTTTCACGGCATTGATCAAAAGCATTTAGTGACTACAGATACACTAAGACAGGACACTGAAGTCACAATTAATACTCCGGTAACTAAGGCCGACAAAGGCATACGTGTTCATAACGACAAAAGAACAAGTAAGACGGTATTTTTCGGCAATGAACAAAGAACAAAGCAAGCAAACGATGAGGCTGATGGAGCAATCAGTAAAATCACTAACTACACAGAGGAGACCACGAGAAATGATGAGGATAGTGAGAGTAGAGAAACAGGTGAAGACACGAGAGGTACACTACCACGTAGTGTATCTGACGACGAGAGAGATAGCGAAGAGGAAGACTGAGACTACATTGCAGACAATTCATACTCTGTGGGAAGAAAAACAGATGTCTTCTGATGAGTGATGATATGATTTAACTGACAATAGCTGATGTTAATAAAAAAGATAATATCATCGACAAACTCAACATAAGAAGCTCTAAATTACATATAAAATCCAGAATCGTTAATCCAGAGAGTGCTCTCAACAAAGTTCTTATGTATTTTCAAATTGATATAATATTTTTGTCCGTTTGCCTGATCGTGCTTTATTTGTGTTAGTTTAAAAGCTTATTGTCTTACCTTTTCTTTCATTTGGCAAAATCTTACCATTCTCATTGTATCCTTTTCTTTCTGTTTCTCTTCAAATTTCATGGACACTGACATACGATCTTTTCATGTCCTACATTAATTAATTAATACATGCACGTTAATGGATACGATATCATACATCATACAGTCGCTCTATATTCTTTGAACTTCCTTGAGACATAATGAAGTCACCTGCACAAATGTTTCAATATTTATTATCTAGACCTTTGTTTTATTACAGCCATAATCATAGATACTGTGTGAAACCTATTCAATGACAAGGGTTGTGGAGAAAGTCAAAATGTGAATACACCACCTTATAGTAAATCAACACATTCAATGCAAGTAGCGAATAACATATGTGAAATGGTAACCACTTATACATGTCACTAGAACACTGACGTCCGTCGGGAAGACAATACCCGGCAACGGTAGAAGTCGCGGAAAACCTGCCAACTCCAACCAATGAGTAATGTTGTGTGTAATTGTTCATGTTTTATTGTTATTTGTTTTATTTCCTTACTGTTATGTTATTATTGGTAATAAAGTGGATTTAAGTTACATATCAGCTTGTTTTATTTCTGATGTTTGTAGGTTTAAACATTTTGGTCTTTACAATTTGTCTACCCTTTCATCTAGCAAAAAAAATAGACATTTAGATTTTTACAGTTTCCGACTTACATACAGAGGGCCAGTCAAAGTTATACATCCCAGCAGCCATTGATTTAATATCTAATTTGGCAGCCTTAAATGAGTTTCCATTCAAGTGAGTTTTATGAAATAAAGACAGAGGCAAAGTAAAATGAAAACTTTGTGACGAGTTTAGTACATCTCACATGAAATAAAAACGAATGAAAGATTCTATTCATCACATAAGTTATATATTTTACAAACCTTTGGAAAGATTAAACTTTACTGCCGATACCGAGACATATAAAAAAATTATCAAGTGATATGTGTTTCTTTGGTGACGTCACATTGCATCCGACTCCATGATGGCCAGCAAAACTATACCTTCGGCAATCGAAGTTCCGCTTACTCCTACTCAATGACATCGTTTATATGAACCCGCATCACTTTCCAAGTTAATTACTAAAAAAAAACAAAAACAAAAAAAAAAAAACAAAAAAAATCCCCGCTACTGAATGACTAATGATTCTAGGAGGATTGAAGAACATATGTAGAGATTACAGGTACCATCTCCGTATCCGAATGGCCTCAACACCCTAACCTTACAATGTCTGCCTTTTGTTATGTCTTGCTTATTTCTCCAAAATTTTCGAAAAAATGATAATTTAGTAGTTCTTAAAAAATTACTGCTATAAACCATTATTATACTGAAACGATAACGCAACTTGTTTATTGTAAAATAGTTTCTATTGAATGTACATAGCCATATGAAAAATGTTAAGGCATCTTACCTAATCCCTAAATAAATGTTAAAATTCGTCATTTGTGACAAAAAAGAAACTTATCCACATCCGTGCGCCTAAATTACCAATATACCGTGTAGATTTCTGAATATCAAAAAGACTCGTGACAGCCAATATATTTACGTTCATTTAATGTTTTTTTTTAATATGCCACGGCTATCCAAACTTGATGGAGGACGGGCTACCGCAATGCTCAATAGCAGGTCGCTACTAACTTCGGAGTTCACAAGTCGACTACAAGTCGGTTAGTTTGAAAAACGATTGGTGATTGAAACCATCGAATCCATCCAAAAAATAAACTACGAGAGTCAAATTAACGCCCATGTCGCTAAGGAGTTGGTTTGCCAACGACACCTCAACGTCGAGCACGTCGTATGCGATGGTTGATGGCACATATGCCAAGAAGTTTCTCATTGAGACGTTGGAGGTCCATGCTCTTCACGAATGAATCTTGGTTCACGTTATTTCGATCAGATGGCCATCAACGTGTGTACAGGCGTCGAGAAGAGCGTCTTGTAAACGCTTGTGTTTTGGAGCACAGATCTGGTGGTGGCTCACGGTTTAAAGACACCTGTAGTGATCATAAACGGGAATTTAACGGCTGAACGCTATCGAGATGAGACCCGGGCCTCATGTTGTGTCTTTCCTTACCATTTGACCTTTCAGTATGATAACGCTAAGCGACATGTTGCAAGATTTTGTAGTAACTCTCCTGTATCCAGAACATCGTTCTGATTGATTGGGGACCGGTCCGAAAACTCTCATTATTTCAATTTCGTGAACATAAGGGTACATTCATGGCGACCTAATGACTAAAGAAGTCCTCATTTGTTAGAAATCTCACAAAACAATGGATGGATAGTCCAGTATTCGAAGTTAACTCATTTTAACTTTAGGCATATTGCTCATAAATATGATTTTTATTAAATCCCAAAGTTGAAGCTACGTTTCTTTTCCTCTTAGTATATATACTTTCACGATCGAAATCCTCTGGAGCTAACATTTACAGATATGGGTCATTAACAATAGATAAATATGTTAACATATATTATTTGGTTATGTTTTTGTCATATCTTTGAATATTTATATTCCCTATTATTTAACAATTTTCTTAAGACAGGAAACAAAACTTACGCTGTATTCTCCATAAGAAAAGAAAAGAAATATTAATAAATAATTAAGCAGGTGTTTACCGGTTGGTATGCATATAAACAACGAAAGCAGGTGTCCTTTAACAGATGAAAGGAATTTATTTAAAATGACAATAGTATATCTTACAAGTGAGACAGCTTATCATTGCTCTTTGGGTTTGTCAAGATGACCTGGAAGAAACTTCAGAACTTTTGACAAATTAATGTTATCATCTCAGCTAATATAGAAGTGCACTTTATTTTAATCACATCATATCATAAAAGAATTAACGGCTTCGGAACATTTTTATTAAGATCATTAAATCTCATATGGATCCATAATTAAAAGATTTCCTGATGCCTAAATGTGTACAGTAAGGTCACTAAAACGTGTTTTTAATGGGCTTCAGGTTTGATTTATATGCAGCACTTTGATGTTTAATCTAACCTGTTTTATTTTTACCTGGTTATTTGTTCGTAGTACATTCCTTTACTATAATTTAAACCCTTTGAGGCTAGCCATGATATGTCTGAATCAATTTACACCCTCGTGATTCCTTGTGCTAGTTTCATACTAGCTTAACATTTCAACTACTGACAGATAAATCCAGAACACAAAATTTTGAGAGAAGCACGTTGATGAAATTATGATAAGGTGTTAAAGTCATGATAATCTTGTTGAAAAAGATTATGTTTTCTTGTGCAGTATGAAGTTGGGCGTGTTTGATGTTTGTTAGTACGCCTAGTTGTCCTGTTCTTATATACATTGTTCTCATTTAGGAAACAAAACATTACATATTTGATGGGCCACTAGTTAGATGACGGTTGTCGTCAATGAAGCAGAAGACGAACACTTTCTCATAGTATTTGTTCTTTTCCTCCTTGTATGTTTTTTTCAGTTTTCGTGTAAATCTTTCTTTGTTCGGATTTTGCCCTTGTTTCGTCGCCTTTGAGTTTTAATAAAGGTTATGTTGACATGTTGATATTTTCTATCTCTTTTTGCTATTCGGGATTCAATAATTAAGTCGCACATTAAAGAAATTTATTATTGACGAGGACAGAATATTAACAAAGTTGTCATGTCCCCTACTAAACGACATATTTAAACTGTTACAGTTAAGGGGCATATAAACAAATTTACGTTGTAACCTTATGACATTGGAAATTAATTAATTACACACAGATGTTGATAGATGTTTAATTGATAAATGAGGCAGTTCACCAGTGAAACGACTCTTCAAGTTTAGCAACATCAAAAACACTGGGATGGATATGTTGACAGCTACAGTTAGTATTATTGAATGTTTTTCACTGAATTGGGTTAAAACCAATAAATACTTATGTTTTTATCAGAAACATTTGAGGAGAAATGTGAAGGATGAAAAATAGCATGTGTCTGTAGATAGATATGTTATTGTAAATATATTTGTCTCTTCCGTTATAATATTTTTATTATAGATACTTATATCTGTTTCGAACGGATATGTTATTGTAAATACATTCGTCTATTTCGTTGCAAATTTGTAATTGTAAACAGAACTGTCTATTTCTTACAGATCTGTTATTGTATATATAATTGCCTATTTCGTTATAGATCTGTTATATACATATTTGTCTTGTTCGTTATAGATTTGTTAAAAAAATCTACATTTGTCTTTTTCGTTGAAGACTTGTTATAATAATAGATTTGTCTATTTCGCTAAAGATTCGTTATTGTATATATATTTGTCTATTTAGTAAAAAATCTGTTATAACTATATTAATCTATGACATTAAAGATTTGTTGTAAATATATTTGTCTATTTCGTTGGGGTCTGTTATAACTATATTTGTCTATTTCATTAAGGATTTGTTGTAAAAATATTGGTCTGTTTCGTTATAGATCTGTTGTAAATATATTTGTCTATTTCATTTAAGATTTGTTATAAATACATTTGTCTTTTTCGTTAAGGTTTTGTTGTAAATATATTGGTCTATTTCGTTAAAGATCTGTTATGAATATATTTTTCTATTTCGCTAAAGATCTGTTATCGTACATTATTTTTTCTATTTTGTTAAAGATCTGTTATTAATACATTTGTCTTTTTCGTTACAGATCTTTTATAAATATACTTTTCTATTTCGTTAAAGATCTGTTAAAAAAAATTTTTTTTCGATTTCGTTATAAATCTTATATAAATATATTTGTCTATTTCGTTCAAGGTCTGTTATAGATTTATTTGTCTACTTCGTTATAGATCTGTTGTTAAAATATATTTGTCTTTTTCGTTATATATCTGTAATAAATATGTTTGTCTATTTTATTCCAGATTTGTTATCAATATATTTGTCTATTTGATATCAGATCTGTTATTATAGATATATTTGTATATTTCGTTATAGATCTCTTGTAAATATATTTGTCTATTTGATATCAGATCTGTTATTATAAATATATTTGTCTATTTGATATCAGATCTGTTATTATAAATATATTTGTCTATTTGATATCAGATCTGTTATTATAAATATATTTGTCTATTTCGATATTTTGTGGTATCAATTTTACCAACTGTACAGGATAACAAAATCGTTACATAGAATTTAAGGAGGGGGTTGGACGATTTCCTGTATATCCTGTCGAAATTCGAAGTATGTTCCATGTGACTTGTATGTTCATAATTTTCTCTGGGTCGTACATCATTGGTTAATTTCAGAAGTGACGGCAGCCAGAGGACAGTTTTAGAGGGCATATCTTGTCTGTGTTTTAGTTAGAGAATATAACATTTTGGCGATCAAACTCTTTTTAACACTGGAGAGTACTTTCATGACATTTTTTTACTATTCTATAACATTGTTTAAATACCGACTCATAATTCCAAACATACCTTGTATTATACCTACATTTTTAATGAATGCAGGTAACCACTACCAGAGGATGAAGTTTTCCTGCATATAGTTATGATATTTCAAATTAGGGTTAAGTTAAGTGCGTGGAAGGATATGAAACGTCCGTCCGTGGGCGCTGCTTGTTTTTTTCAGGGTATCTGAGGGTATGTGTGAGTTGGTTGATACAAGTGGCGCGTTACCGGGCTAATTACCCTTGAACTGTAGTAGCGAAATCATGAATGAAGCATTTGACCGCGTTCACGACAGAGTCAATCCATTCATAGATGAAATCTCATTTAGCTTTAGATGGACATGTGCTAGTCAGGCGTTCACTTCACTACGAGGATATTCAGTCCCAGCATGTGTCCTCAAAGTTGGGTTCATGCGTGGAAAAGTCTTGTTTAATTATGTAAAATATATAAACACCGCTCTAGTCGACTAACTCCTTGTTCAACTAAAACAGTACAGATCAACTATGACCGACAAGTCAGTATAAATCTGTAGTATACATAACCCGGCCCAAATTCAGGCCATTACGTAACGCCTTTGTGGAAGGCTGCCTGACCCGGAGATTTGAGGGTTCGTTTAAAAGTCAAAGGTTCACGTTTTTGTTTACCTGATTTATTTATAAACGTAATCTGCGATCCACAAAGTTAAATCTTGTAACACATTGTTGTAATACCGGTTGTATACTTGTCCCGACGTATTTCGGGAGGTTAAAAGTACATGAGTAATTTGGACTTGTTTTTTGTCCTTATGGAGTTTAATTCTCGAGTGTTTGTCAGAAAATAACTTTCTTTAGATAGGTCAAAACAGAAAATATGTATAATTGTGTTACATACATTTACGTCTTTGATTTGTTAAAATTAAATGACATCTGATAAGACATGTTGCAAGTAAATTCTAAAACATCTTTCATTTCTCCGATTTAATTCATCATTCGAATTTATGCCCCATCGCGTCAAAAATGAAGTATCGAAGATAGAAGGGGCCAGTTGACCGATAATCTCACAGTTTCCGGTCAGTTTGATAATGGGAAGGGGCGAAAGATGGACGCTTGCGGTTAGCTGTCCCCGCGCTGTGGTCAAGGGGTCACTAGAGAATGGCCACATGTTCCCGCGCTCAGCATCAATGGACCGATATGGCTTACGTCATTGGGCTCCTACAGGGTTAGCATATTTTGCAGTTCAACGGAACACAAGCCAATATGACAATATCTACCAAAGGGGAATCGTTTAGTTTCTTTACAAATGTAATTGTGAAGGAAGTGTGAAGTGTGAAGTAAAAAATGGAAAACAAACAAAAAACCGATAATAATAACAATAAAACTAGATAGATGAATGAGCGAAGAAAAATGATATAAAACATTTACATATTTTACATCAGACAGTCTGTAAATAAAATTGGCCTACACTGTGGAGTATTTATACAGTCTCTATAACAAAATCGCTGTCATAACAACTTTTATTTCAACTTTTTAAATTTACCAAAGTGATTAAATAATACAACTAAGCTACTGTTTACCAGAACTGCGTATCTACACGTCTGTTCTATTTGTTTACCGCCCTCGGTAGTGTCTTGTAATAGCCCCCTTGGGGCCTCATCAGAACTGGTAGCGATGATGAATGTTTTGTGATTGGTCTGATTACGTAGGCCGGCCTGGTTGTAACTCTGTCACCCGGTCAGGCCACGAACTGACCAATACCTGGCCAAAGCCACATATAAATAGAACTTCGGTCTTTTAAGTTCATTTATTATAGTAAAAGCCACTGGTCATTTGGTCGATCGCTAAAATTACTCCGGCCACACACAGTTAAAGTATCAGTTTTAATTCCTATAACATGGAAATATCCGAACTTGACTTGCCTTATGTCCTGAGGACAAACCACAGTATTATTTTGTCTGAATGTTTGGGAAACTGTTCTGACGGGAATTATGTTGTAAGCAAACACACAAACGATCATCTTGGTATGTCCAGGTAAGTTGTCATTATCATTTTTCTCTGAAAATCGTAACAATATTCATTTCACATATCAATTGTATTGTATAAAATTTTATTTGATTTTTCCGAAATATCATATGATTTATTCGTTTATTATTTTATCAGATCTTAAACCATTAAACTTTTATTCTTACAATAGAACGTTTTGCTTTAATTTGAAATTTATTTTCAAAGTTAAAAAAAACACTATCAAAGAACAAAAATCAAAAACTCTTTCGATGTCACTAACAGCAAAGTGAAGATTGAAGAAGGTGTCATTTTCTAACATAACAAATATATTGATGATTAATGTAAAAAAAAAAAAATAAAGGAATCCGTCTGTTAATGATGAAGGTGAAAAGGCGCCGACTGTAGAACTGTACACTATACGTTCGGCTGGTATGTCTAATTGCGTCACTTTAATTAACCTCACACGCTCCGGCCTTTTTGACGGAATAAAATAGATAGCGTTTCTTATAAAGTTAATATACAATTGAGGCGTCTGAATAACTCTGATTCACATCTGATACCAAACATCTTATTCTATTCAGTTATCTACGTATTTCTTTATTTCACTTTTTCTTGTTTACATGGTTTTCTAAATTTATAACAGTCTTTTTAAATATTTCCAAAGCATTAATAAACTAGTTCCTTAAAACACTTTCTAAAATCAATACAAACCTCAGCATGTGTCTATTGATGACAACACATGAGATAACATGTCTGTGTATATGCGCGCGTCACCTGCTAAGGGCGACATTTTACTTGTAACGCCCTTGGTGATATTTCAGCAATAAGAATTCTGCTGTGACGTAGGTGTGACGTAGCTGTGACGTATACGCTGCTAAACGGCTGTCAAATGTGTCATGCGTAAAATAGCACACATAATATTATCACAACGACAATCATTTCATGTCAAACACGGGTGATATCTATGTTCAAGATCACGTGTCTGACTTGTCTATTACACTGTACATCTTAAGTATTCATTTCTTTCTTTAAAAAATGTTTGGATGGATTAAGAAATGTGTCCTTTTAAGTTGAGACCAATCCACTCCTTTTCTCTTCTGCCGAAAAACCAGAATATTGAGAGGATTCTCGGAATTTGATTCTCAACTGAGAAAACAATATATCCCTAATAAATAAAAAAAAAACGCGAAAAGACCGTTAGAAATATGAGGAGTCCGAAACACATTCCGATCAGTTTTATTTTCTATCACTGCGTCTTTCGGTCCATATGTAGGGCAGATAAACCAAGCCCAGATCATTACTTACTCAGATGTATTAGCACTTCTTTACCTACAGTTGTATGGTATCTCAAATCTTGATTTTAGATATTCAAATTATATGCAGTTGATATTTATTTCAATTTATTGAAAAATATATGGAATCATGTGCCACGTTTGTTTCAAGTATTATGTTTCTTGCCTTTACTAGAGCGGGGAAAAACTACAAAAGTTCAGAAGGATTTACCACAATGATGTTGTGAGTTGAAAAGCCATGACTTTCGTTTATTTCAGATACGCGATCATATTCCTGGTATATCTGGTAGATGTCGTTATAATACCCGTTGTCTTCCCCGCCATCTTGTTCGTTGCCTCGACTATATTGTGGAATATCAATGTCTGGTGCTCACGTGATCCATCATGCTCACTTCCGTTACCCCCCGGAAGTTCCGGTCTACCTGTGATTGGAGAAACGCTCCACTTCTTATTCAAGGTAAACATATTGTTAAGTTATATGCCGATTTTCGACTTTCAGTTTATATTTTTGCCTCTTTAGATTTTGTATATAGGAATTTGAGAATAAACCGATTGATACATATCTCGGAATGACTTAGCAAGGTGTTACAAAAAACCTGATTTATGAAGTTGTATTGAATTATATATGGCTGCTGAGCATTATTTCTCATCGGCGTACCTGCGTTTATAATTGAATAAAATCGATATATTGTGTTACAGGGACGAAAGTTTTTCGATGAGAAGCGGAAAAAGCACGGCAACATTTACCGGACTCACATGCTCGGGAAACCCACCATACGAATTGTTGGAATAAAGGGGGTTAAGCAAATAATGGCGGGCGAGAATTTCCGAGTGACAGCAGAATGGCCTAGAAGTACCCGGATGTTGCTCGGAGGCGGTAGTCTATCATCATCAACGGGAATAACCCATTCCATCCGAAAGAAGGCTATACTTAGGGCATTTACCCATGAAGCCATCAGTTCGTACACGCCCGTTGTTATGGACGTGGTACGGGACTACATCAACAGTTGGTGTGAAAAGGTCAACATACTAGGTTACAAAGAATTCCGAAGCCTGAACTTTGAACTCACGTGTCGAGTACTATTGGGTATCAACATGGACCAAGAGGAAAAGTCAAAGCTGATGGGCAACTTTGAAACATTTCTGGGAAGCCTGTTTAGTCTACCTGTCTGTGTTCCGGGGTTTGGACTGTATAAGGTTTGTATTAAAAGTTTCCAATATATTGGAATGAACCTAATCTTACAGTGGATATGCGTTAATTGAATTTATCATAAGCGAGATGTGAATTTCTACTAAATATAAAAACTTTATGAATTTGATAAATTTCTAATAAATTAAGTGTGACTGGTAAACTTGATGTCTACACTTAAATCAATATTCGGGCATATGATTTACGGATACACACACATTGAACAAATATACTGGGTACCTTTAAAGTTTCAAAAGGGTTCATCTTTATCACGGACGTCTAATTTTGTATGACAGGGTATGAAGGCCAGGGATATGCTCCTACAAAAGATAGAACAGTGCATTAAAGAGAAGCAAGGATCAGGGTCCCCACACAGCTTCATGGACGCTCTCAGCCTGATGATGGACATAGAAGGCGACGAGAAACTAACGCTTGCAGAGGCTAAGGATGTTGGTCTTGAACTTTTGTTCGCTGGACACGAGACGACCTCGAGCGCTGCTTGCACGTTAGTGTTGCAGCTGACAAAACACCCAGAAGTAATGCTGAAGATTGTCGACGAACTAGCTCGATACGGAGTGACAGATACCTTAGATGTTGACATCCCTTATGATACTATAAACAAGCTCAGATATACCCGTGATGTTGTGAAGGAAGTGTTACGTCTTACACCGCCTATTGGCGGGGGTTACAGGAAGGCACTCCGTACATTCGAAGTTGGGGTAAATATATATATATATATATAAAACAATCAATTTTATCAGTTGTGTATTTCGTCTTTGGCTTGCAGAGCAAGTTGAAAAAAGCACATGTCTATGTTGATTATAGTGAAGGTCCGTTATGCACTTGACGCATGTTTCCTGAACATTGTAGCAGGTTTTAATGGAATTTAACATCGTTCCATCAGCTTTGTCGATTGTAACAAACGTTTGTTTTAATTGTAGGGTTATCAAGTACCGAAAGACTGGGCTGTAGTCTACTCAATAAGGGACTCCCACGAGTCGTCCGAATTCATTGAAAGTCCGGAAAAGTTTGATCCCGATAGGTGGAGCCACCTAGATGTTGACGACAGGCAACACTTTCTGGTATTTGGAGGCGGAAAACGAGGATGTGCAGGAAAGGAATTTGCATTGCTGGTGCTGAAGATGTTGACTATTGAGCTGGCACGATCATGCTCGTGGACAGTCCCTAATACCGACCCGCCAATGACGTATCTACCTATTCCCTACCCAAAAGACAATCTGCCCATGCAGTTCACGGGACCGTACCAAACGAGGCAACGGTCTCTCACTGTGTGACGTCCGTGTCTCACAACTGCCCATCTCTATATGTATATATGTATGTATGTAGTAAATTATCTAATGACACTGAAATCAAAGCAATGCAAATAAATGCAAGACATGACGTCATTTGTAAGATATTGTATCCGTGATGTAAAGAAAAGATGTACATTGTTCGTATGTAAATGATGTACAACTGTCTTCACTGTATTCCAACAAATCATTAACGTTCGCAGTATTCGTTAAGAATATAAGAATATATGATCGATATATATGAGATGTACATATGAGAAAAAAAAACGTGTGCCAGATATATTAATAATGTATGCATGATGTACAATGTATATACAGAATACAATGTATTTATGATGTACAATGTATGTAAGATGTACAATGTATGTATGATGTACAATGTATGTATGTTGTACAATATATGTATGATGTACAATGTATGTACGATGTATGTATGATGTACAATGTATGTACGATGTACGATGTATGTATGATGTACAAAGTATATACAGAATACAATGTATGTATGATGTACAATGTATGTATGATGTACAATGTATGTATGATGTACAATGTGTATTTTGATGTACAATGTATGTATGATGTACAATGTATGTATTTTGATGTACAATGTGTATATGATGTACAATGTATGTATTTTGATGTACAATGATGTATGTATGATCTTTAATGTATTTATGATTTACAATGTATTTATGATATTTTAGTAGAGCCGATATATTTATAGTACCTTTCTTTTCCTAAAACCCAAGCGGGTTTTATGGGATTTGCTGAAAGGTCACTTGCCATCGTGTAGACTTTACTAACATTCAGAACACACCTTATTGTGTAAATGAATTCATTTAATTCTTGTGTTTATTATACAGATTTTTGAAATATTACGTTATGTGACCATGGAGATGATAAGGAAGGCAGCAGTACCTATATGTATATAGCGAGTACCGGTGATAATGTATTGAAATCCAATATAAATTATATCTCTGTCTATTCTATCTTTCTTGTTGAAGCACTATTCTTACCGTTTTGGTAAAAAATGTAATTTTGTAATAAAATGCTTTTGAATGCCATATTTCCGTTTTTAGATTGTTATTCATCTTAAGTCAACGGTATTGGAAACTGACAACTATTGACATCGCCGTCTTCCTCACAGGTCTTCAGGCATGACACGACATTTGGTCAATACTGATACTGATAGAGTTTCTTGTTTATTTGTTTGTTGTTTTAGAGGGGGATGGGGGAGGGGTTCACAGTTATACAAGTTTGGAATGCCTTTACTGTTGTTATATTGAACTCTTTATGGACGATACCTTTTCTCCTTTTCTTCGTGAATGTTCTATTGTCCGTCTGTCGGGATCGTCCGTCCTTCAACAAGAAATACTAGAGGAAAATCTTCCTCAGTGTTCACATGTTAGCTCTATATGGCAGTTGGTGAGAATCATGGGGAAGAATTACGGTATACCTTGTATACCTTGTTCTTATGCGACATCATGACATAACTTACTCCGATTGACCGAGATTAACTTGCCAGGTGTCATCAGTGAAGTACGGGAAGCTAACTCTTCCGGAACCATTGGACATATTTGCCTTGTACTGTATTTAGGAATCTACGTGTAGATCTTTCTGTTTGTTCATTTGTTGCCTCACTTTTATCTAATTTTAAGGTTGGATTATGACAGTGTTGGCATGTTGGTATTTTCTTTTTGTTTATTGTTCTGCGTGGTGTATATTGACATTGCACGGTCGTAAACAACGTCGATAGGACAGAAATATTCAATACAATATATAGTCAATGGAAAAGGAAATTAAGTCGGTCGATAGGACAGGAATATTCAATACAATATATAGTCAAGGGAAAAAAATTAAGTCGGTCGATAGGACAGGAATATTCAATACAATATATAGTCAATGGAAAAGGAAATTAAGTCGGTCGATAGGACAGGAATATTCAATACAATATATAGTCTATGGAAAAGGAAATTAAGTCGGTCGATAGGACAGGAATATTCAATACAATATATAGTCTATGGAAAAGGAAATTAAGTCGGTCGATAGGACAGGAATATTCGATACAATATATAGTCTATGGAAAAGGAAATTAAGTCGGTCGATAGGACAGGAATATTCAATACAATATATAGTCTATGGAAAAGGAAATTAAGTCGGTCGATAGGACAGGAATATTCAATACAATATATAGTTAAGGGAAAAAGAAATTAAGTCGGTCGATAGGACAGGAATATTCAATACAATATTTAGTCAAGGGAAAAGAAAATTAAGTCGGTCGATAGGACAGGAATATTCAATACAATATATAGTCAATGGAAAAGGAAATTAAGTCGGTCGATAGGACAGGAATATTCAATACAATATATAGTCAATGGAAAAGGAAATTAAGTCGGTCGATAGGACAGAAATATTCAATACAATAAATAGTCAATGGAAAAGGAAATTAAGTCGGTCGATAGGACAGGAATATTCAATACAATATATAGTCTATGGAAAAGGAAATTAAGTCGGTCGATAGGACAGGAATATTCAATACAATATATAGTCTATGGAAACGGAAATTAAGTCGGTCGATAGGACAGGAATATTCAATACAATATATAGTCAAGGGAAAAGGAAATTAAGTCGGTCGATAGGACAGAAATATTCAATACAATATATAGTCAAGGGAAAAGGAAATAAATTCGGTCGATAGGACAGGAATATTCAATACAATATATAGTCAATGGAAAAGGAAATTAAGTCGGTCGATAGGACAGGAATATTCAATACAATATATAGTCAATGGAAAAGGAAATTAAGTCGGTCGATAGGACAGAAATATTCAATACAATAAATAGTCAATGGAAAAAGAAAATTAAGTCGGTCGATAGGACAGGAATATTCAATACAATATATAGTCTATGGAAAAGGAAATTAAGTCGGTCGATAGGACAGAAATATTCAATACAATATATAGTCAATGGAAAAGGAAATTAAGTCGGTCGATAGGACAGGAATATTCAATACAATATATAGTCAATGGAAAAGGAAATTAAGTCGGTCGATAGGACAGAAATATTCAATACAATAAATAGTCAATGGAAAAGGAAATTAAGTCGGTCGATAGGACAGGAATATTCAATACAATATATAGTCTATGGAAAAGGAAATTAAGTCGGTCGATAGGACAGGAATATTCAATACAATATATAGTCTATGGAAACGGAAATTAAGTCGGTCGATAGGACAGGAATATTCAATACAATAAATAGTCAAGGGAAAAGGAAATTAGGTCGGCCGATAGGACAGGAATATTCAATACAATAAATAGTCAAGGGAAAAGGAAATAAAGTCGGTCGATAGGACAGAAATATTCAATACAATAAATAGTCAATGGAAAAGGAAATAAATTCGGTCGATAGGACAGGAATATTCAATACAATATATAGTCAATGGAAAAGGAAATTAAGTCGGTCGATAGGACAGGAATATTCAATACAATATATAGTCAATGGAAAAGGAAATTAAGTCGGTCGATAGGACAGGAATATTCAATACAATAAATAGTCAAGGGAAAAGGAAATTAAGTCGGTCGATAGGACAGAAATATTCAATACATTATATAGTCAAGGGAAAAGGAAATTAAGTCGGTCGATAGGACAGAAATATTCAATACATTATATAGTCAAGGGAAAAGGAAATTAGGTCGGCCGATAGGACAGAAATATTCAATACATTATATAGTCAAGGGAAAAGCAGGAAAACAATACAATCGACATTAAACTTACATAGAACAAATCAACAAAGTTTTGGCGCAAAATCTGACAGAGATGTCTGTTTACATTGATTTATTTTACAATTGAATCCGTCTTATGTCGGATATCTGGTGAAATAAAAATAACAATCCATGAAATGAAAGTTATTCACACAAAGGAAGGAAAGGAAGGACAGTGCAAGGCGTTATGAATTGACAAGTCTTAATTAGGACAGTACAAGGCGTTATGAATTGATGAACTTTAATTAGGACAGTACAAGGCGTTATGAATTGACAAATCTTAATTAGGACAGTGCAAGGCGTTATGAATTGATGAACTTTAATTAGGACAGTACAAGGCGTTATGAATTGACAAATCTTAATTAGGACAGTGCAAGGCGTTATGAATTGATGAACTTTAATTAGGACAGTACAAGGCGTTATGAATTGATGAACTTTAATTAGGACAGTGCAAGGCGTTATGATTTTTTAACTTTGGTTGGGACAGGGAAAGGTGTTATGGAATGATGAATCTTAAATAGGCAGTTAAATGCGATATGGAATGATGAACTTTGATTAAAACAAGGAAAGGTGATATAGAATGATAGACAGGGAAAGGCGTCATGGTCTAATGATTCTTAGTTAGGAAAGTGAAATGCGTTATGGTTGATGAATCTTAAAAAGGACAGGGATTATTACTAAACGCGTCTTAGTTAGAACAGTTAATGAAATTCGGTCAAAGGAATGTTGCTTATTTAGTCAGGGAAATGAGTTGTCGTATATGTGTAGGACAGTGGTAGGTTTTCAGCCTTTGTTAGTGTGTGAAGCAATCTACATCATACAGCTGTTTTCAAATGTCACGCTAACCTGTTTAACATTTAAATCTGTTTAGTAACCTCATTTGTCGCCTAACGAAAACAAGATGTTATCTGTTGACCTCAGTAGGCCAACCCAGAGGTGAAACATCACAGGAAGGTCAGTTCTCGAGGTCATGTAATATAACTGGTCATTAAGGAAAGTTGCTGTCCATTAGTGATATTCAGTAACACCATGTGTGGTGATATGTCAGCGACCTTGTTTACATACTGTTCTTTGACTCATATAGGTTACATTACTAGAAAAGTATACTCAATACAGTGAAGACCGACAGTAAAGTAGATAGTTGTGGAAACCATCCAAGAGAAGCCATTTCCACACCACTTTACAAACTTCATTCAATTTGCAAAAAAATGCTTTGTATATAAGTAGGACATAGCACAATCCACCAGGAAATATATATCCTGTATTAAAACTTCATTCCTTTAAAACATATTGAACCAGCATAATTATCTTTATTTCCTCCACAAATGAAAGATTCGGAGATAGAATAAAACATTTAGCATACAATTATCACGTACACGCGAATAATTTGAACACACAAAGCTACTTTACACATGCAGTTTAAATTGAGGCATTAATTTTAATTAAGTGGTTCATATTGGTTGAGCATTTTCTACAAAATTTACTAATCTGAAATATTGTGCATTAACTCGATAAAGTGGTGAATATTGGTCGAACAGTTTTTTTTTTTTTTTTACAGAAATCTTATGTGAGCTTATCTGAAACTTTCATCATTAGACATGTCACAGTTTAGGCTGCTTCCTAAGGACAAACGCTTTTAGATTGAAGTGTTAGTCACAGTACCATTAATTTATTGTCGTTTTTTAATTTAAGAATGATTCTATTGTAGGGATCTTAAAGCAAATGAATTGAACAACAGGTAAAGTCTATGAAAGCCTGCACCATTGCAAACCGAACAGAGCACACGTCAACAATCTAGGTAATCGTATAACGGTTAAAATAAAGCCATACCGGGGTATAAGCCTCATGCCCGCTACGGTGTGGTAGCCGTTATGTTGACCAAAGTTCATTGATGTAAGAGACAACAGAAGGCAATTTAGTAAGATAGTAAAACATTTAAAAAAAGTTTGCAAATTAATTATATACAGATAGTGTTAATGATGAAATACGGAAAATGAAAAACGAAATATCACAACCAAACTTCTCTATCGTTACGCTACACATTTTCCTTGATTATTGTAAGTCTGTTGTAGAGGATTCTACATGTTAATGATCCTTTACAGTAATAAACTGAACTCAGATCTATATAAATTACATTGTACCATTGTACAATGTCAATTAATTTCCACTAAT